TGACTAACCGCAACTTCAAGGAAGGCTGGAGAGTGTAACCTCACTGTGTGCCTACAGACAAGAGGGTGCGATTTTGGGAAGCAGATAACAGACTGTGCTGCAGGGTAACTGGGAAGCTTTTGGATGTTGATATTTGAAACTCGGAGCAGAGGTCTGAGCTCGAAATGCAGCTTTAGGCACCTTCAGAGACAGGGTAAGTTTATATCCTGAGAGTAATTACTTTAAATATATATATATATGTCTATTGATTTCAGAGAGAGGAAGGGAGAGGGAGAGAGAGAGAGAAACATCAATGGTGAGTCATTGATGAGCTGCCTCCTGCACGCCCCCTACTGGGGTGGAGCCCGCAACCCGGGCATGTGCCCTGACCGGGAATCGAACCGGGATCTCCTGGATCCTAGGTTGTTGCTCAGCTGCTGAGCCATGCCAGCCAGGCAGTAATTACTTTTCGAGAACAAGTAGAGACAAGAGCAGGAGGCCAAGGGGAGCTTTAAGTTTCCAGCACACAAAGGTGGTGTGGAAAGCAGATGCTCGGAGGCCCCAGAGTCTCAAAGTGGGAGGTATTGCACCATGGAAGTCCAGGAGGGGACAGTTTGAAGGAGTTGGTGGGAAACTGCAGGGTGAAGAGAAAGACTCACAAAGTGTCTCTGGAATGAAATGATTAAATAGGAGAGACCTGATTGAGCAGTCCTCCCGTCAAGGGCCCAGTCAAGGCAGAGGGCTACAGGGAAGGGGGGGGAGGACCTGGAGGGAGGGGACCACTTTTGAAACAAAGTCCCCCAGAGAACTTAAGAAAATAAAATTCTGAGTTTATCCAAGTACTGCTTTTTTGACTCCTTTTTAGCCCACATTATGATCGATGACATTTGTTATGAGCAATTTTGTTAACTTATCTAGTAGTAGACTGTAATTACATTTCCGGTCCCGTATTAGTTTACGTGATCAGTTCACATCTCCTGAGAAATGCAATTACTCTTTGTAAGGAAGTTGCATTTTTCTTGGTTTTTGAATGCAAAGCATAACACAGAAAAAGAAATAGCCTGCTGTAACTTTGTCATAACTTTGCTAAATAAACTAAGGCAAATTGTACATCTTTTATTTTCCCTACTAAGGGGAGTTATAACCTGTCTCTCTGTGTTTAAATAAATGTTATATTTCTTAGTTTCCCTCTTTCCTGTACTGTGGCTAGGAACATGTTTAGAGGCCTTTTTCTTTCCTAGAGCATTTTTTAATAATGAGGAGGTGAGACAGAAATCATGAGGCTTACATTTGGATTGTAAGGCTTACATTTATATCTGCTGTGTAATATTGATCAATCCCTAGTTATATTAATAGATCACTGCATAGTTATCTTTCCATTTCATTTACAGTTGAGCCATGTTTTCCAGTGAGGCACGTAACATTCATTTAAAATGCTTTAAAAATTGTTTCTATATATTTTAAGTTGTTTTTCACTTAAGACCAGAATATTTAGAAGTAAAAAAAAAAATCTTCATATAAGCCATTATTATTTATATACCAATGATAAAGGTGATGGCAAGAATGATTTGTCACTATGCTTATTTTATTTTAAACAGCACTTCACAGAACTGTTCAATTGTATTAAAACCTTAAAATAACACCAAAGGTCATAGTTAGAACTTAAATGGCTATTTCTTTGGGAATGTAATTTAATATTTGTACTCTGGTGCTTTGAGGTTTTTCAGTGTTATCGCTTTATTACCAGAGTTTCTTTAAAATTCTGATAGTAGGAAACAGAATCAAATTAAGTAGAATATATTTAAAATAATGATTTTTTGTTTCTATTTTCTAGAAAAAGGTAGACAATTATATTCTCCTATCTTGGTTCCTGATTTATAATAAACCCTTAATATTTATGAGTTAAGGATAATACTTGAGTTAGTATTTGTTTTTAATTTTTTTTTTTAGAAAGGACGTGTATCTGTTATAATAGAGCGTGATGCAGCATTTCTAGCTCTTCCCCACCCCCATCCTCAGTATTCTTTCCACCTTTCTATACTTGATGTCAAGGTCAGTCCTTAACTGCAAAAAGATGACTTGGTTATGAAATGAATATCCAGCAATCATGTCTGCATTATTCTAGGCAGAATGCATTTTAGAACAAAAGCTGCACCACTCAAGAAATGTCTGAAGATGAGATTTAGGGAAAACCACATTGTCTCACTCTGGTCCAGGGCTCCAGTCAGGCCCGAATCTCTGCCTTATAGGCCTGTTTTTCTCCAAGCATCACTTTCCCTCTTATGATTTGTTCTAAGGTATGTTTTACCTTCTTAACCCCTCTGTTTTTGCAGCTTCTTGGTTTGTACGTTGAATAGGAAGTAGGATTTGGGGAAGGGAGATGAAGATGGGGGTGAGGTCAGTATCTCTTCTGTGTGCAATGCCAGGCAGTGTGTTGGGCATTTGGATAGAGGTCAGTTACGGTGCCTGGCTCGTAAATTACCTGGCATGTGTTCACCTCCACAGGTCTACCTTGTAGGCCTGCGCAGGACCGTGCTCTGTTGTATAGATGTAGCATTTGGCTTGAATTCGACTGAGTTCTCAGCCTCCATAGAACTCATCTGGGCACCACATTACCATGTCAGCCGCGCTGGCTGCTGTAACAAATGAGCCTCTCAGTTTCAGTGGCTTAGCTCCCTATACATTTTTGACCCCCCCCCCC